TCCAAAGCACCCACTTGCGAAGCACATCGTTGCAAAACATTCATAACTTTTACAGCTGAAAAAAAAGAAGTGAAAAACAAATTTCACATGAGTGCGGCAGAAACTGTTCCAGTTAGTATAATATGAAAAATTCGAGACCGAACTAAGAGAAGAATTAAAACAGCACTTTTGCCAGTTTTGCTTCGTAACTTCTCTGCGAGTGTTTGGATTTTGCCAAGCAGTGCAGCGGAGTGCCGTCCTTGTAGAGCACCTGAACCCACAATAATCATCGGTCGCTTTGCTGCATGCAAACGCTAAAAAATATCTTTGCCTCAATTTATCTCTTTGCAGGTACTATTACTCAATTTGTAATTTCTTGTTAAAAATTGACCGTTAGGAAAGGAACTAGTGAAATTAGCTGCGTAGCAGCACTTTTACCAACCACCTTTTTTATCAACGACACTGAAGCATCGCTCCATTATGCAATCTTTTTGTAAGCACAAAATTCCTTTCCTACGGCTTGATTTTTAAACAATGAGTAATTTTTTTTTTCAAAGTAAATCAAAAATACAACGGCACAGAAAGGCATTCAGTTGCGGACAGGTCGTTCCGCAATGATCGGCTCGCTAAAAACATTACTAATGAACCTTGCACTCGCATTCACCTTCGCAAATTCACTTTTGCCGTCGATCACACCGTCCAGAACAGTGCTGTTGTCACCAAGATACTCATAATCATACTTCATGTCCACTTCTGCACCAATTACACCGATCTCAATATCTGTGTGTAGGAAACTGAAACAATGATCATTTACGAAAAACAAGTTCGTTCGAAGCAACTGTCTCGAACTTTTGAGTGTTAATCCATGCAGAACTATATTAGGTTTCTGCCCTACAGCTCGTCCTCAGTTCTTCACTGCGTAACTTATATATAAGCATATCGTCTCTTCACAAGAGTACCAGTGATTTGTTTTACGGAATTACACACTGATAAGCAACGTTCATCAGGTTCTTGTAAATCGAAGCGTCTGATAAGCTCTGCATATTGATACAATTTCTAGTAAGCCTAGTCGGTGTTACCCCTATCGCGGTCTAGCCGGTCGTCTCGATCCGTTGTTCCGTCGTCATCCCGTCAATCATAAGAGCACTTTGTGTAAGAAATCTTTTTTAGTAGCTAAAATAATATGTGCTTTTGCATGCAACATGTCGTGGTCACTCAATATTGAAAGAAAAGAAGTATAAGATAGCAGTCAAGATGCGTCACGAATTAATCGGAAGAAAGTCAGCTTCGTTCGGTGAGCCAGTAAGACTAAACAGATAAAATGCATCGAAAACAGCCTCCACGCTGCAAAGTACATACCTCTTTCTGATACGAGCATTGAAAACTGCAGCTTCAAAGCGTGGATTTGTACCGATCAGCAACAGCACATCCGCCTTTTCCACTCCAATCAGTTTGTCACCCATAACATAATTGCATCTGGTACATATAACCGAGTAATCAATCTTTTTTTTTTTACTTTTAACAAGTAGCTAAAACTTCTTACACTCCGCATATTGAACCTACCGTAGATCTCCGCCACCACTTACGTCTGGAAACGATTCCTCTGTGCAAACCAATTCGCTATCAAACCGATTCATCAAATCTTTCAATGCTACCAGTGATTCTGCAAGTACGGAATAAATTTCGATTTAACACATTCGAGTACAACAATTGAAAAAAAAGTGCATGTGCTATCCAGCAATCTCAGGGTGAGACTAATGCTCCAAGATTCAGTTATTAAGCGCCGAACCTGTATCACACAGATCCCCGGCTACTGCTGCCATCTGATCCGGAGAGGTGGAGCGTAATTTCGAAGCAACAGCAAACAAAGCTTCTTCCCAAGTGCACGGCCTGCAAGCAGTCAATTCATTAAAAACTATTATTTTTCACAGGCGTTTTCACCAGAAAATTTGACTGGCAATGACTTACTCCAGAGATCCGGCCTGAGTTCGCAACATTGGCTGTCCCAATCTCTGTCGTTTTAAACCATCAACCACAAAGCGTGTCTTATCGCTAATCCATTCTTCATTGATATCCTTCAAAAAACCCCGAACATCAAGTGATCCTCAGCACTGCAGACAAGCTTAATACAAAACGTGAAGATGGAAAATCGCTATAAAAAAGCATTTACCTCACACAGCCGTGGTGTAATTCGCAGCAAATCACCTGTCCGATGTGCAATCACGATGTTTGAGCCAAGTGCG